TTACTGTGAATTGTGGGTCCCATTTTCTACTTTTATTCTTGGAGGTTGTGAATTTACGGTTTTACCCTAGGTGGTTTTGTGGTTTTGGGTGGTTTTGGGGGGAGGTAAGGGGTAAAGTTGGAAATGTATTTTGAATTTTGAAAAAGTGAAAGATTCGTGGAGGTGGTGGTGTATTTTGTGACGAGGTAAATTAAGTAGCCGTTTTAACTTAAATGGGGTTTTTCTTTTGACATTTTTATCCTCAGTAATTTTATTTTTTTTACTCCTTTCGTCTTTAAAAAAAAATAAAAAATTGTTTAGACACCTTCTGAAATTTGGCATTAATATGATGGTATTTCTTATTTTTGAGTTTAATTAAGGGTCTGTTCTCTTCGGCTTAATTTCAGTTCAGTTCATTTCAGTTTTCAGTTCCTAACTTCCTACTCTCATGAACAATTCATTTCAGCTCTATTTAGTTCAGTTCAGTAAATCAGACTAGGCCCTAAGGGTGTCCGACCTTAGTTTGATCAGCTGCCAACTTGTGTAAATTTACACAATTTCAGATGACACGGGTTTTTCTTAACTTGAAAAACCAACTTGAGCATTGGCACGTAATGTAGGCTTTGCACAACCTCATGTTTCAGACTTTCAGCTCTATCCCTAAACTTTTTTTTTTTTTTTTACTCGACATAAGTTTATAGTCTTACATACATTAAATTAAGTGACATATTGTAGATTGATTTTGAATACATTAAGTGACATATATTTGTTTAATGATTTTAGTTCGAGCCCCACGCATGCTTGGGTCATTAAGGGTAGTAGGAGAATAACGTAGGGGTATTACGGTATTTGTGGTACTATGTTTATTCCATTTAAGTACTTTTTTAAGGTTAAATTGTTTTTTAAAATATTTTACCTAGTATATTTATTTGTGCACAATTTAGTGTGCATAGAAGTGGGACCAGCTCAAACATCAACATGAGTCAAAGCATAATAAAGCTATGAGCTAACAACCATTTGCGTTACCCAATACAACTCTTTTCTTATTAGCTATCTAACCAAACTCACAAATCACAAAATCTCATCTTGGAGTTATTTATGTACCTAATCTTCCTCGGCCTCACCTTAATCACCACCCATTTTGTTTTTCATTTTTTTAAAAAAAAAAAATAATCACCACCTAATTGGAATAATGTTTCATTTTGCTTGCTACACTGAAGTTAAAATTAAATTTTCAAAAGTTACAAATTAAAACAAATCTAATAAAATCTCGCCTGATTTTTTTTTTTCCCGTATGATTCAACATATGACATGAAAAGTAAAAGTTTGAATGATGTCAATATCCTAATGTTACATATAAAATGGAGTTGATGAAGTACTCTCTCCGTTTCAATATGATAGTCCCATATGGAATTTATCACATAAAATAAGAAAAGAAGAGTATTTGGAATCTAACATTAAAGTAAAAAACATTTCATAAATAGTTTTGCCTTATTTAAACTTTTTTGTTTTTTTAGGAAACCGTCAAGTATAATTGCATAATTCAAGGGAATAATTTCTTTACTTAGACACTTGTCATCAATGCACAATCATTAATTTAACCAATCATAAATTAATATGTATAAAATAGGAAATAAATACTAAGTTAAAAGTAGAATACATTCAATATGGGTAGATCTTTTTGAAACGCCCAAAATAGTATATGGGACTAACAAATTGAAACGGAGGGAGTAATATTTATTAATTTTTAGGATAATTTGTCAATTACTACCGCAAGTTAATATCACTTTGTAAATTACTACAGCAAATTAAAAAAGTTGTGAATTACTTAGGGATATAATGACGTCATGGTTAAGGGCTTTAACCATGGGAAGAGAACAGCATCGAGCTTAAATAGAGCAAATAAAAAAGTGCGCTAATATTGTGAATTTACATTATTACCCTGGTTGGCTTTTGTGATGTTGGTCAGGGTCGTCCCATTCCATTACGGGGCCCTGTTCTAATCATTAAAAAGGGCCCTCAACAAAAAAAAATGAAATAGATAAATAAATAAAATTGGCCCCTACTACAATATATATTTAAATTGAAATTCAAAATTTCACTAACAATAAATGAGAATATATACTGAAAATTATACAATGTATAGTTTAACTTTAAATCGTTTTGAGTAGTTAGATGTTGATAAAAACAATTAAATTGATTAAAATTTATAAGAGGTGAATTTGATGATGGCTGGAAATCAAGGGATGTAATTGTTAAGTATGAAATCTTGAAATTTGCCTTAAAAAAAAAGTATGAAATCTTGAAAGTGCTATTATATTGAAGATTATTGAAGGATTGTGAAAATATTATTTACAATGAATATTATTGACATGTCACAATATATGTTAGGTGGAAATTAAAAGAGGTAAGAGGATGGTAAATTGATAAGATAATTAGATAATTATAATTGGGTGAAACAAGAGAGTTAGGAAATGTCCCATTAAAAAGAAAAAAAAAAACAGAGAAGAAAGTTAGTACGGAGTAAAAGAAATAGTAAAATCCGGAAACTCTTGAATTTCCTACTTCCTAGGCATTAGTGCATTACTGAAGAACATGTGGAAATTGGAAAGTATGAATAGGATAAAATAATTACTGTAGTAGATTTTACTATACCCAAGAAGTGAGATACGACAGTAACATCCTACACAGTATGCTACAGACAAATTGACAAAGTAAAGGACTGGGTTGCTACCAAAAATTGGGCTCTTTGAGTTTGGGGGGCCCTGTGTTGTTGGTCTCTTTGCACAGGGCCATAACCGGGCCTGATGTTGGTGTTTATAGTTGTAGTTTTCTGGTTTAATAGGGGTAGCTTTGAGAAAGTGATTTGAATTTTAAAAAAGTGATGATTCACAATTTCACATTGTAGCGTAGATTTTACCATGGTTTTTTCTTAATCTCAACCATTCATTTCATACTTTCAATCTTAATCATTCATTACTTTACGCATTGTTTGGATATCAAAGAAGGAAAGAAAAGAAGGGGAGGGGAAATGGAGGAAGGGAAGGGAAAAGAAAGGGAGGGGGGGTGAGCTTCATTTTCCCTCCAAATGATTATGGTTATTATAGAGAGAGGGAAAATGGATCCCTCCCTATCCTTCCCCTTCCTCCCCCCAATCTTTTACCCAAACAAGAGATTTTGCCCCCCTCAATTTCTCTTCTCTTCTTTTCCATCCATTTCTTCCTTTCCAAACAAAGTGTTAGTTAAGAAAAATGAACAAATTTTACAAATCTTAATTAAAATTCTCTTTAATGTAAAAATATATATATAACGTTGAATTATTGAGAAACATAAACATTGAAAAACTTTTATTTGAAGACGAATGAACCGATAGAGTAAATAAAGTTGAATTTTACTTTGTAAAAAACGGCCGCGGCGGGCCAAGGTAAAAAAAAATTGGCCATTTTCCGGGCCATGCCGGGCCAAACTTCGAGCCAAAAGGTGTGCCCAAACTCGCACAAACTAGGCAGGCCATGCGGGCTTTTTCAAGCAAAATTGATTTCCCAAGCCTGCCCAAAATTTTTAAAAAATCGGGTCGGGTCTGGAAAAAGTTGTCCAAATTAACGACCGCCCAAAATCGCGCCGGGCTCAACTTGATCACCTCTTGTTCAATGTTCACACATTATTATATGTTGTCGGTTACACCATAAATTAATGGTGTGGGCAAATGATCGCTTCATATATAATTAATGTAAGCAATTAATTGATTAATGGGATGATCAAATGAATTACCTTAATAGATAGGCATGCATTATTGTAGTAGAATTAGGCCCTCTTCGGTTCACATTTAAAAAGTAATATTTAGTAAAAATAAGTTCAGCTTAGTAAAAATAAGTTCAACTCAGTTTAATAAAAATAATTTAAGATCGGTAAAAATCAAAAACTCTAAAGAAAATAGAGAATTAGTAAAAATAATTTCATTTCAACAACATTAATTTCAGTTCATTAAAAAAAAAAAAAAAATTAAGTTCAACAAAAATAATTTCAGTCTAGTAAAAATAATTTCCGTTTAACAAAATTAAGATGAAGTGAACGAGGCCTTACACGGTTACTTTTATAAACAAGTAGAATTATTTCTTTTAGGCTTGTTTTGGTTCATTGTTAGTAAAGGAAAAGAAGAGAAAGGAAGGGAAGGGAAAAGAAAGGAAGGGAAGGGAAAAAGAAAGAAATTTTATTTCCAATGTTTGGTTAATGAAAGGAAATAAGAGGAAGAGAAAGGAAAATGCTTTTATTTTCACTTTCTAGTCGAATTACTCCGATTTTGGGAGGAAAGGAAAGCAGAAAATTTGTAAAGAGACTTTCCTTTCACGTACCTTTCTTTCATTTAAATTCTCATGTCATTAATTAAACCAAACATGGGAACATATCAAAACCTTTTCCTTTCCTTTCTTTTCCAGCCAAATCCCTTGAACAAAAAAGGGTTTATATGATATTCAAAATAAAAGAAAAAGGGTTACTTGAATTAATGAAGTAACTACTACTACGCACTACTTTTTTTTAATTAATTGATGTTAGTAATTTGGGTTACATATATAGTAAAAATAAAGTTATGATTATGAACAATTGAATTAATGTATAAATAAGGTTACTTTTATAAACAAGAAGTGTAATTATATCATGTAGTTGGTCGCACACAAAACTTATAGGGAGTTGTTTAATTTCTGTATACCTCAATGCTTAAAAATCTCTTGTACGTATTAAGTTTGATATAAGCCTAAAACTCTATAAAATATTAGTTCTTGGGATCAGGTGTTCAAGAGCGGGCGATACTTTGTACATCTAACACCAACCCAATCTCGATCTAGTCAAGAGTGAATCGATTTGATCATTCCAATCTGATAGCATTGATCGCCGCCTTGATACAAATAATACGAGTATACTACTTCCATTTCATAAATAATTAAATATGATATTTTAGATTTTGTTACTTGAAGATTACTTACGGAGTATTTATATTCCTTTTTTCAAAGGAAAGAGGATTATTTAACGATTACTTTAGGCAGCAATACTGTAGTTGTCTTAGTATTGCCAAAAATAGAAACTACTCATATTTGCTTGATAAAATTTTCTGTGCCTTTAAATGCTGCTCAAATCTGTAAAAGAGCTTCAATTGTTTCATTCTCAAGCCATCAAATCCGGCTTACAATCCAGCATCTTCACATTCAACAATCTCATCCATTGTTATGCAAAACATGGGTTTTTGCGGTATGCCCATAAACTGTTCGACGAAATGCCTGAAAGAAATGTATTCACTTGGAACACTATTATTGCTGCCCACTTGAAGAATCAAGACATAAAGACAGCTGAACTCCTTTTTAAGTCTTCCCCATACAAGGATTTAGTGACTTACAACTCTATGCTATCTGGGTATGTTAATGCTGATGATAAACCCGAGCACGAATCGAGTGATCAAGCTCTTAGACTCTTTGTTGAGATGCAATCATCTCAAGTTAATGGTGGTAGTGGTAGAAACATTGATGAGTTTACTATCACTACTATGCTTAACTTGGTTGCTAAGTTATCTTTCGCGTCTCTAGGAATGCAGTTGCATTCATATATGGTGAAAAGTGGGAATGATCATAGTGGATTTTCTTGTAGTTCACTTATTGACATGTATTCTAAATGTGGGTGTTTTCAAGAAGCAATTCGGGTTTTTAATGATTGTCGTGGTGGATTGGATTCGGTATCTAAGAATGCTATAGTAGCTGCTTGTTGCAGGGAAAATAAGTTGGATTTGGCCTTGGATATCTTTTGGCACGAGGCTGAGTTGAATGACACTATATCGTGGAACACGATTATTTCCGGTTTTGTTCAGAACGATCTTCATGAGAAGGCATTGAGATTATTCATTTGCATGATGGAAAATGGGATCAGATTGAATAACCATACCTTTGCTAGCATCTTAGGTGCCTGCTCGGGTACAAGGAGCCTTAATCTTGGGAAGGAAGTCCATGCACATGTTTTGAAGGCTGGATTTATTGAGAATTCTTTTATCAGCAGTGGTATTGTAGATGTTTATTGCAAGTGTGGTAATATGGATTATGCTAAATCTGCCTATACAGCATTTAGCATGGGGAACGCCTTTTCAATCACTTCGATGATTGTGGGATACTCATCAATAGGCAACATGGTGGAAGCACGAAGGCTTTTTGACACATTGCGTGAGAAGAACTCTATAGTTTGGACTGCTTTGTTTTCAGGGTATGTGAAATCACATTGTTGTGAAGCAGCACTTGAACTTTTATCAGAGTTTCTAGCTAAAGAAGTAAATATTCCAGATGTTTTGATATTGATGACTCTACTTGGTGCATGTGCTATACAAGCCTCCTTGCATCCTGGTAAGCAGATTCATTCTTACATACTAAGGATTGGTATGAAATTAGATAATAAACTTCAGAGTTCAATGATTGACATGTACTCAAAATGTGGCCACATAACATCTGCTGAGAGAATTTTCTCAGGAGTCAAAGAGAAGGATTCAGTCCTTTATAATGTGATGATTGCTGGTTATGCTAATCATGGGCAAGAAAGTGAGGCCATTAAGTTGTTCAAGGAGATGTGCGAGAGAAATATTAGACCAAATGCTGCAACTTTTGTGGCTCTTTTATCAACTTGTCGGCATGCTGGCTTGGTGGAATCAGGTGAAAAGCATTTTGATGCCATGGAAAGAGATTATGGTATACAACGAGAAGTTGATCACTATGCTTGTATGATTGATCTCTATGGAAGGGCTCATAAACTGGACAAGGCGGCTGCCTTAATGGAAGAAATTCCTTTTGAACCAGATGCTGTTTTATTGGGTGCTTTTTTAAATGCTTGTAGGATAAGCGGGAATTTAAATCTAGCCAGAGAAACAGAGGAAAAGCTGTTGAGAATTGAGGGTGAAAATGGGTCTCGTTATGTGCAATTGGCTAATGTATATGCTTCAGAGGGGGATTGGGATGAGGTAGGGAGGATTAGGAAGAAGATGAAAGGGAAGGTGATCAAGAAGCTTGTAGGATGCAGTTGGATACATCTGGAGAAAGGTGTTACTGTCTTTACTTCTGGTGACACATCTCACTTGAAATCCGATGCAATCTACTCTTTGCTTGCATGTTTAGTAGCAGAAATTAACCACCTTGCCTTGGTCAAAGATCTGCTTGTAGATAAAATGAATTGATTCCTGGGAACTATGTCATGAAGATGTCTGCTGTGACCTTATAGTATTCGCTTCTGAAAGAATTTGAACTAATTGTGCTTGACAGTAGTAGATTCTTCATAAACTGAGAAATCAAATTATGGGTTTCAACTTTGTGAAGATATTTAATAAGAAGGGGAAGGAACCCAAGTATGGCTTTATCTAATGGATATTCAGTATGCAAGTTTGTTTGAATTACTCTGCAGCTGTTGAGTGGGGGTGGGGGGAGGAGGGTGAGGGAAGGTCGGGAAGTCTTAATGATTAACAAAAGTGCCTTATTTTTTGGGCAGGTTAGTTTTATACTTTTATCTCTCGCATACTCCATACATTTTCCTTATTTAATTCTTGCTAATTTAGGTTGGATTTGGTTCAGCTGAATAATTTTGAACTGAAATCGTTTTTAGATTTCAAGTTTCAATATCTGTTTGATTCAAAAGAGGGGGTGAGGAGAGCTAGAGTGGAGGAAAGGAGGAAGATATGGTATATGGTGGACAGTGTGACACTTTTTTTTTTCTTTCTTTCCCCCTCCCCCCCCTTCAAACTAGAGACATCTCTTTCATCTTCAAGGATATTAGATTACGTCTACATATTTATTTTTCTCTTTCTCACATGCTAAACATAGGAAATATCTTAAAAGTAATTGTTTGGAATATAATATTCTTTTCAATTAAACTGGCTTGTTATGTTTATACCTGTTTCAATATTATAGTTCACACTTATGTTCTCAGTACACAATTTAGTTACAACATGAGCCTTTTCCTTATTTGTTGACTAATGGTTATAATTGAAGATGATGTAAGTAAAGTTCAATATTTTAGTTTGATAATAATTATGTTTTACTCTTTACTTGATGGCTTCCAATTAAATGTCACTAAATTAAAATATTATTTTTGATCTTGTTTCTAATGTTGATATTTATATTTTGTTATCACCAATTTGGAAGAGTATTCTCCTAACATAAGTGTGAACAATAATATTGCAGTTATACCTTTTGGTCTGAGCCACACAACTGTGATATAGGCTGACTGATTTGCACAAGCTTCGGTGTAAGAAGATCTACAACCATGCTCCTTGGAGAAGTTTGAACATCTAAAGTAGTATGTTTTTCTTTACCCTACATGAAGATTTGTTTGAGTTTTGGTTGTTATAAATGAGTATGCAATATATATATATATACTATGTTACTTGGACTCGGATGAAGTGTCAAATTAGACACGGGTGTCCAAGCATCGGACTCGCCCATTTTCTTGAAAAAAGTTGTGTTTTTAGTTAAAAATGAAGTGTCCAAGTGTCGGTGTCGGTGTCGGTGTCCGACACGAGTCGTGTCAACACGGATACGTGAGGTAAATGAAAGAGTCCGATATATATATATATATATATAGATATATATATATATATATATATATATATATATATATATATTTTGTCTAATAAATAGTTGATACCTTTTAATCATAGTTATGGCTATTCATGGGAGTATTATGTTTATTTTGGCCTCACCATCCCAAGAAAACTGAGGAAAACCAATTTTTAGTTGTTTAATGGTGCGGAATCCTTTGTCCTATAATTATAGCTCACAATTTGATTGGTATACATTCATTTAATTTTGCTTTTATACGCTGTAATACCCACCAATTGAACACATTTATTACTCTCCAAGAAGAAAATATTGACACACTGGAAACAAGGGGTTAGATATTCAAGAATTTGTTATAACGTTTTATGTTGTACGATTATGCAGTTTGCAGCATATATAGATATATATAAATTTTAAAGTTTATAACGGAAAACGAACTGAACCTTGGTTACAGTACTATAACGGTAAACGAACTGAACCCTTGGTTACAGTTTTATAACGGAAAACAGAACTGAACCTTGTTCTAGACACATAAAATTTAAAACACAATTCCTAATGGCATATAAAATATAAAACACGATTCCTGATAGAGCTGCCACTATAAAATGCTAATACATAGGGATACAATCAGTCAACCTCCTTCTTGATAACCATAGTAGCAGAACCAGTCACACATCTTGGCTGACCAGAACCAGTCAGTATTGGCTCTTCCCCCTGCTGAAGAGACCCAGGCATCACAGTGATACCATCAGCAGAATTTGCTAAGTGCATTTCCCTCTTCCTGATCTTACTTTCACGACGTTTCTTCCGCTCATCAGGTGTCTCATCCTTGTAATGAATCTGAGTATGTGCTGAATACCTATTTCCATTCTCAAAAACAACATGACACTTAGGGCAAGTGTACGGGCCATACTTTTTGTAGGGATGACTCCTATACATAGAAGTTCTTCTTGCTTGATATGCAGGTTCAGCTGTTGCGTTGTTGTTATTAGGTTCAGAAGCTTGTCCTACCACTTCTTCTGATGCAGAGTGAATTTCAGGAAAAGTTGGATTTGGTTGAGGATTAAATGAATTAAAATGGAGTGTGCCATTTCCATCAACAAGGATCGGATTTTGGTGGTTGGGTGAGTTCAGTATTGAACTTGGAAAAGAAGGAACAGGATTGTACTTCTCACCACGGTATCTAAATGGTCGATTGAATAAACTTAAACCCATTGTATGTTGAGAAGTGGTGCGACTTTGATCAAGAATTCTTTGGCATAGGTTGGATGGTTGTCCATGATGAGTGGACAAACTGACTATATTCTGTCTTAGGTATGAAATAGCAGTAGGAATCTCTTGCTCAGAGTTTGTAACATACGTACCTCGAGTGTTTCCACTTCCTGTAGCAACAATGGGAGAAGCATATTGTGAATGAAGTCTTGCGAACCGGGGGCTACCATTTATTTCTGAATATCTATTCAGTATGGGTTCTTGGTTCGGGCCTAGATTTAAAAATGGCTGCTGGACATGTGAAGATGCCGGATTGAAGATGTTTATAATTGGGGGAGTACTTGATGAGCCTGCAGAAGGACTATTGCTTGCAAATTGAGAAATGGGGTTGTTGTTCAGGAGGTTGATGTTGAAGGAAGAACTGTTTCCCACAAAAAAATTCAAGTTTACATTGTTTCGAGGTTGTAAAGGATAGGAATCAGATGGGCTATGCGCATGGAGACCAAAAGGTATGTTAAAGTTTGATCTCCTAGTCCTTGCTCCATCCAGATGATGATGGGAGGACTGTTGATCAATCACAGGATTGGCCTGATTTTGGCGAGAAGGCAAGGTGCTACTTGAGTTGATAGAGAGGGACAGAGAGAGGTTAATATCAACTGCACCAAGACCATCAGAGGTTGGTGCAAGAGTTGTGCCATGGACACCATGCTCAGATTGGCTAGGGTGATTGGGGGATGCCATGGTGATGAAGAGAAGGGCTCTAAAAACTGATAGAATGAGTTTCATTGAGGATGGAATGGCTATTGGTGAGTTAATGAGAAGTGGGAAGGCCCTGTTTATAGATGGCTCGGTTTCACACTATTGGACGCCTCTGCCAGATAAGCCTTTTGTTAATTATGGAAACATACCAGGGAGATTTCTAGAATCATGAATAATCTACCCTATCACGATTCACATTGGAGGACATTTAATGTTTTTTAAATTTAGAAGATCATAGCCTTATAGGAGATATGCTTTTTAAGTAACAAATCATGATTCTATTTTGTTTGACTAAAGGCCCATTTTCATAATTCAGTATTCAGTTTTGTGTAGGAAATGACAGCAAAGGTCAGAGTCATATTAGTATATAGTACTCGTTTTAAGCTAATTACTACCTCCTTTTCTTTTTATGTGCAACAAAGGAAAATTTTATGTCTCACAAATAATACCCCTTTGTTGCACATAATAAGAACCGGAGGTAGTATCATATTCCAGATTCATTAAATGGCTAATTAGGTGTTGCACTCAGATTCACTTAAACTTTGTGTACCGGGAAATTTACAACCATTTGTTCTTCTATTATTTATCTCATTTTATTTTTATTCCCTTTTTTCATTTTTTTCATACATAATGCCTTAAATTATCTGTATGTTCACAACCTGAGGATCGTGATACATTATACTTTAAGGGTAAACAATCAGTTTCATAGTTTGAAAAGAAGCTTGCCTGATATTTAAGCTGTTAACGACAACCTTTAATGAATTTGCTTGGCCTGCCTCTTAAATTACCCTATGTCAAATCAAGCATTGTATCTAAGTTTAACCTTTTCACAAGTCTATTAGTTTAGCAGTGGTTTAATCTTTTTAATCTTCTTCAAGTGGACACTAGCCATAGTAACAGCACAAATTAATGTACACTGAGTGCACTAGAATTGTGGTCCGTATTATCCATCACAATTACATGACAAAGTTTGACTGACAAGGATGATTATGACAAAAAAGGTAGCACAGAAGAACCCTAGCCAATACTTAGTTGCTGATAATCACAATTGCACACATTAGTAATAGTAATTGCTTTTAGCCTCAACTATTAAACTTTTGATTGTGAACAGGAAAACAGTTTTATTTACAGTTTATATGACAAACAGTGTGGTTAGTTTCATTTTCCTTTTTCTCTTCTTTGTCTTTGTTACTGGCTTATTCCTTACAGATGGGTGAGTTGATATCTGTCTACAGAATCATAACGAGATGATTCTATCGGAATCTGATCTAAAAAATGATAGATTGTAAATCATATCAGGTTGAAACCTAAATTAATTAATTATAATACTGAATGTAGAAGAGACAACTATCTAAAATCCTGTTAGATTTCCATGTAACCAGAATAAACGTCATACAAAAGCGAATTTTGTTACTTATTGTTTCCTAAGATGAACAATGTTACTATGTTGGCAACTTAGCATTGAGCTCTGCTGCAAGAGTTCTTAGCTTTGCCTTAGTTCTTGACCTTTACCAAAAACTATTTATGATCTTAAGTGGCTTCGTTGAAGGGAGCAATGGGAGGGCTCCTGCCCACTCTGTTTTACTCAAAGTGTTCATATTGTTCTTTGACATTTAGTACAACTAAATGCTCAGTCTCTTTCATTTGCTTAGTGCTATATGGTTACCTACTGAGCTACAGCATTTTGGGCATGCTAGATAAATAAATTGTTCTGCATATATTTTGCATCAGTTGTAGTAGGAAAACACAATTTTTATATTTTTTTAAAACTGTCTGGATGCTAACCAAATTCCTACTTTAAAAGTTGATTAAACTCCTTTCAGGTGCATCCTACATAGCTAAAGCTAATGAATTCTCATTGTTAAGAGGGCCATTTTATAATTACGTCGCCAATATTTTTTCTACGTCCTTAGTTTCGGTAGGTGTATTTTGCTTTTCATTTCTCATTTTTTTTCTCCTTTGTGTTATTGTGTTTATAGTAATTGCATAATCTTATGATACTAATTAAGCTTCTTCAGTAGTTTTATCCCTTCCTAAGTATTACTGTTGAGACTTGAGAGAACTTGAACTTCATCCTCTCTCAACCACCACTAGAGGGTGTTGGTGGATAGTTAGATACTTAGATAATATATTCTCAAACAGAAACAATCCATGATTCTTTTTCAACTCAAACTCATCATATCGTCATTTAATTCCCGATTCTTGCTTGAGCAGCACCTCAATCTTTCTAACTCCTCTTCCCAGTTTCTTTCTAGAGCCAAATATGGGTTCAATTTATGAAACAGACAACTATATCTTATCCATTCCTTGTCCCTCAGTTTCACCGTTGCAAAAAGTTATAGTACATTAGTGAGAAATCATTCATCTTGCTATTCTATTACTCTCCTCTCCTAGATGACTCTAGAAGCTGTAATCCTTTATTTCAGACAAGCCAAGTTCATAGCTATTTTCACTAGGCTTTACTTTTTCCTATAATTCCTTAAACTACATTACATATTGATCAATACATGCTGTTTAATTGTTTGTTTTATTAAAGTAGCCAATAATCTAGCAACCAAGCTATTGACATTAAATATGTTTAACTTACCATGGTCAGACATAAATCAGTGCTTTTCGTTGTTTTAGAATGAAATGATTGAAATCTTGCATCCTGAGAAATATTTTGGGTCTAATAAGTATAACTATTCCTTTGATGATAACTGAAATAACATAGATTCTTTGTGGCACAGGTTCTACCAATCAGCATAACTGCTGTTGAATGGGCAAATTTCTGCTGTGTTGCAAACTACCATCTCAAAGGCTCATGCTGGAGAGACGTGGTTTTTGTGTAAGACTGATATTTTGATGTAGTGAAAGCCACCTGAAGGAGATTTACAAACTAGGATGAGTAATTTCACCAATGAAGACTGTGTAACATGTCATACAGTACTGGCATGCAATGCCCTGGGTGCACATAGGAGTTACCATGCCTAGAAAAAGAAGTTGGAGGTGCCAAAGATCACCCCCAACTGTCTTAGCAACCATGTGATTTGACTGGAGTTTGTGTCTGCTCTGGCTCTTGGATAACAAAGCTACGGTAATTATTCGATGAATACCTTTTGATAGTAAGTTTAAATTTATATATTATAAGATGGAGTTATATGTGAAGAGATTTTGGGCATAAGGTGTAGAGGTCTTATTCATTTTCTTCTATTTTTCCCCACATGCTGAAATATGTTGTACTTTTCTCACTTTTTTTAATGGTAAGGGGACACCTACTTCAATGACGATGATGTAAGCCGTGGTTTTTGTGTATTCAAGTGGGGGTTTAGCCACTGCTCTCACACCTGCATGCATGTCAAGCTCTTGAGTTCAGACATGAATAGATCCTTAGCAGATTTTATTTGTAGTTTTTGATAATGTAGTCAGGTTCATTTTCACTCATCTTAATTTGTGTTTATGTTATGTCATTCAGAGTTTAATTATGGCAGTGGTGGTATTGTTAGACTGATATTGCTAATGTTGGAGGGATGTCAGGATGTGGTATAGTTATTGTTTATGATATACTTTGCATAAGATAACTTACATAAATCTTTTTTTTCTACGGTTAAGTAGTATTCTTGTTTCTCTTTGATGTTTGCCGCCATAACTATGTTATAAATCTTCAAGATGCTGCTTGTTACCTGTTTGGTACGATTTGCTTTTGAGAATTTTTTTCAGTGAGATTTCTATGGGTATAATGATATATGTAAAAGTTGTCTTAATCAAATGGTGGCTTATCATGGGATTAAGGCTTTGATTGATTGATTATACCCATAGAAAATAAACAGTGGCTGCTACTTATCAGTCGTAGCCACTCTAATAAAAAGCCTAAACCCTAGAAATCAATGTACAATATTTATACGATTTTGATGTAGAATCTGTAGATCCTGTTTATTGCAATGATACTTTTTGCCAGAATAATAATTCCTGTAATTTGCAGGTATAATGTTACTGGCGATAGCAGGAAATCTCTGCCAATGGAGGTGTAGCAGCAGCTTAGTAAGAAATTCAACGAACAGAGTTCACACTCGAGATGATGATGAGAGTATGATGAGATACAGAGATAATAGTTTCGTTTTATATCCAACAGAACAACTGAGATATTTAGTGCCTAATGAGGGAAACACTTGGGATTCCTAGTTACTACAAGTAATAGTACAGTCTAACAAGTTACTACTAACAAGTACGAATACAATTTTTTCCATAACTTATCACTTAGTTCATAACATAACAGTTCGGGACCTGAATTAGAATGTCAGAACCGATTTTTGTACCAGTATACACCTTTCTGCTGCGAATCATCGTCTGGCTCGACATACAAACACTCCTTAGCCTCCCTCCATAATGCTTTGTAGAATGGTGTCCCATCAAACTGGTAATAGTCCCCAAGAATAGGCTTGATTGCTTTGGTTGCTTCCATTGCATGGTAGTGAGGCATAGTAGAGAACAAATGATGAGCAACATGAGTATCTGTTATATTATGAAAAACCTTGTTTAACACCCCATAGTCGCGATCCATAGTTGACAATGCCCCCTTCAGCCAATCCCACTCCGATGAGTCATAGTGGGGTAACGCCGGGTGCGTATGCTGGAGGTAAGTTATGGTGACAAGGAAGCCGTTGACAACCAAAAGTGGGACGCCGTACATGTAAATCAACCAAACTAGACCTTTAGTCATAGCAACCTTGTATAGGAGAAACATCACCCCTAGTACACCCAAATCAGATACAAAAACTTGAGTCCTCTCCCTGGTCGAAAAAATGGGCCCACTTGGGTCAAAATGGCAAGCGAACCGGTCATAAGGGCGACCGGATGCATTGAAGAGCAAGTACAAGGGCCAACCCAATGCTAATGTGACTATAAGTGAAACCATACGGCCCGGTGGGCTGTTCATGTATTTGGAGTACCATGAGATTTGAGACTTAGGCTTGGGCACAAACACTTCATCCCTATCCAACGAACCGGTGTTCGAGTGGTGGCGACGGTGGCTATACTTCCAAGAAAAGTATGGGACTAAAAGGAAGGAATGAAAGATTAGGCCCACGGTATCATCAACCCATTGGTAGTCACTAAAAGCATGGTGTCCACATTCATGGGCTACGACCCAAACACCTGTGAGAATGCAGCCTTGTACGGCCCAATATATCGGCCAGCCCAACAAAGGCAGAGGATAAGCTAGAGTTGGAATAACATGAGAGGCAATGAAGTAGAAAAGGCAGGCTAGTGTAATATCATACACTAGACAGGTGAACGATTTTAAGAGGGAACGTTGGAAACAATGTGGTGGGATGGCTTGCTTAAGTTGGCCTAGTGTGAAGGGTGGTTTCGAGTTTGGGGCACGGCGAATAGCTACTCTGCCTCCTCCGTTTCTTTCTCCTTCTCGCGACTTTATGCTTGTGGTTTTCCTTTGCCCACCTGAACCCATTGCTACTCTTCAAAATCTTCCAACTGCATGGACATAAACATAGCGAGATTACAACGTTTAAGCTTTAATTTCCGTTGATTATTGTGTTAAAAAGAAAAGTTAAGGTCACTTAAAACATGTTTAAAAAAAAAAAAGGTCACTTAAAACATGTTCAAAGTACACTTGAAGAAACTAAAACTCACAAATACAAGTGCTTCATACTTTGAAATTATTATAAATAACTGTTGTTTCTATAATCTAGGTCATATTAGTTTTACGAAATCAAAATCTCATTCGTTTAATTCGTAATATATTTTTGCATTTTGTTAGTCCAATACTCCAATATACAAGGTATGGAGTATTGTATCCCCTCAAAAAAAAAAAAAGGGGTATGGAGTATTGTATTACAGCGTAGTTAATACAATATCATACGGGTACACTAAAAAGATGATTTTTAAACATAAGAATGTATATTGCGGAGAGAACTCGGGGCATCGCCCAGGACAGGTACTAGTTGGACATAAATCAAAAACAATTACTCGTAATTAATTTCCTCCTGCATGTTTGACTAATGCTTCAAAAACACCAATCCTAAGAGCAAGTTTAGCCCCAAGTCTTAAGACTTGGGGTGACATCATCATTTTGAGTCTAAAGATTTATACTTAAGACTTTTTCCATTTTTCTTTAAAAATCTCAAGCAAGTCTTAAGTTGAGTCTTAAAATTTCAAGACTCAACTTAAGACTTGAGATTGGGACCCACTTCACCCACTTCATTTTTATTCTTATTATCCCTTTTTTTTTACACTTTTCTACATATAATATGTCAAATATTTAAGTTTTAAGGCTAAAGTGATAAATTTGTGTAAGTCTTAGTGAGTCTTAACAAGAATTTGATGACATCATTTTCAATAGGGACCACCAAAAATGATGTCACATTCAAGTCTTAAGACTTGGGGCTAAACTTGCTCTAAGAAAGGCCTCTTCCATGACACAAGTACAACTAAGTAACTTGTATCTAAAGTCCAACTACCAAACTCACATTTATTATGTAGCATTGGATCCATTTATTAACTCATCAATTTATGTTTATTTAAGCGATCTTGCTAACGAGCGTCCCGGGGCGTTAGATAAGGATAAATTATATAGGTTGAAATGGTATTAAGTTTGGAATTCATGACAAAATCACGCGTCGTTCGGTGTAATTAATGTTAATTTTACTCTAATATTTGCACTTTAATTCTCTTATCTAACGCCCCGGGGGCGCTCATTAACTTTTGCCATATTTAAGTATCATTTTCAATTACTCTAGTATTTGTTTTTAGGCCCAAGCGATACCTACCCCGATTATTGCATGAATAACATGCACAATTTACTCTCTTATTATTGTTTTTAGTCTTCTTTTGTGACTCAAATAAGATTAAATTGGGAAGAAATAAATAACATAATATGTATCACAACATTGGGTTAATGTTAATTGAAGGTTGAACTTTTAAACAAGATTCTTACTAGTCAAGATAAATATAGGTGAGACCATTTCACGGCAATTCAATTTGTTATAAGACGACCATATGTGATAATTGGATCCTATTCTTTATTAAAATATTTGGAATCTAACTAGTAGTTGGCATAAGATATTAAGAATAAAAAATTAAAAAATTAAATAAAAAATACAAATTCCATAGTATTAAGGTGTTAGAACTTGACTATGCCACCTTATTTTTTGGTCACACGATTATAACAACACTTTTAGACATCACGTCAACCATGCTAATAAAAACAAAAGTTTTAATCACACCAAAGGCGTTTATTATTTCACTCTTAATTTTTTTTTTTTTTTTTTTTTTCAAAAGCGTTTATTATTAAAGGTGTTAGAATATGCCTTGAATTGGCACCCTCTTCAAACTATCATCACGGAAAACTTATAATATACACGTATGTTATATTATATGGGCTCGACTATTTTGTAATTTGTACTCTTCCTCAAAATAGCTCTCTCTTGTTTAATTTGTTGATTTCGTTAATGTTTCTTGTTTTTATCTTAACAATAGGGTAAGGAGAAAACTTGTCCAAGGATACCATTCAACTATTAATTAGATTTTAGACTTTTATTATTCAATAGAGTGAAATTAAAGAAAGACGTGTTACAAATATTTAGGCAAGAGACTCGAACTAACAAATAAAATCAAATTAGCTACCCATTCAACTCGTCTATTTTCTGAGAGTGAAGGATAGCTCAAGTGGTTAGAGCTCCCTTCCCGATTCCAGGAGATCATGGGATCGATTCTCACCCCTGCCCTTGTGGCTCTCTAAACACCAAAAAAAAAACTCGTCTATTTTCTTACTAGATACTAGGATAGACTAATTCTACATGCAACTCTTTTTCTAGTTTAGATATTTCTACACTTTTGGTAAAAGATTGTACAATATATTACAAAAAACGAAATTTAAAAATAATTAAAAGTAAATTAATTAAAAAAATTAACCTATGAAATTATTATGTTAGATCGTTAGTTACGTTGTCCATGTATTAACGCAAGAGTTTCCTTTCTATCTCTGCATCTTTTTTTTTTTAATACTAAGTTTGGTTATTTTTGTTACTCTTTGTTTGGAAGTATTGTCATTAATCTTTACGTAGGAAGAAAATCGAAAATTTCCAATATAAGTAAATTTTATATGATCAAAAACACTGTTTGATAATGATTGTCAAAATTTTTTTACAAAAATGCATTGTCACATATAGATTGTGTTAATTTAATGATGTAATCTTATACTTATAAGAGAATATATAAGAGGATGTAAAATTACATTCGAAATTATAATATAGATCAGACATAAGAGGGTGTAAAATTACATTCGAAATATAATATAAATCGGACCCGTGATGTAATTGGTACAGAGTAATATACACTCATTCTCTCATACTTTTCTCTTCGGGTATAAATTATAACTAAGTAAGATGTTTCCTTATAAATTAGAAGAAGAAATAATGAAAGAATTGGAGTTATAATAAAAAGATACAAGGAACTTAGGGAGTCCCCCACTTGCTCTTCTTGAGAACTTATGGTTTCAACAAATTCAAATTCCAAAATAGTGACATTAAAAACTTCCAAGCTTAAGGTGAATATTATAAAACATCAAGATCTAAAGATGATATGATGAACTTAAAAAAAAAATTTATAAAAAAGAACATAAATGAATATATAATGAATAAAATGCGCTAATTTATGAGGAAAATACGAAAATATATAAAACATCATACCTGTTTTGTAACAAAAGTATCAACCCAAGATGAGAGTTTCTTCTTCTTTGCTTTTATTTTTAGAAATATTATATTTGAAGGTAAAAAATGATAGTAGTACGAAAGGATGCCCAAGCATTTGCACATATATATAGTGACCTTCCCAATTCCGTAAAATAACTAAGCCCCTTCATATGGGAGGTAGGTGGGCCCTTTAAATATCACTCCAATTAAGTAAGGATCAATTTTTTAAGTAAAAATCACAATAACTTTATACGACTGTTAATGTATTTGGCTCAAATTGGCAAAATGACATTACAAATCACAAATATATATTGTATTCAACTAATAAATACAAGTCCTTGTAAAAAAATAAATAAATAAATAAATAAATAAATAAATAACCTAATAAATACAAGGGTAATGCTATACATAGCCCTTAAGGCTATATATAAGCATTGAATTTACTCTTGGAAAATGTATAAAGTTAGGAATTCATGACAAAAACACGCGGAAATCGGTGTAATTAGTGTGTTTTTGTCATGATTTTCTAAATTTAAACAATTTTCAAGAGTAAATTAAATGCTTATATGTAGCCCTTAGGGCTATGTATATCATTTTCCTAAATACAAGTCTTCATTGTTGGTTGAAGCCTGAAATTGGTTTACATACTCTCTATATAAACTTTTTATCAGAGGGTTCGTTGGGTTTAAAGTGTGAAAGTAGCATGTGTCTCTTCATAACGAGCACTAAATATTCTGCTTGAAAGAAGGGGTAAATAAAATTTGAACCCATAACGTATATATATGTTAAATAATCAACTCGTTCAATATTGAAAATAGTATAGTGCACCATGTGTATGGTGCACCCGAAAGAACATTAGACATATTTTAAAGAACATGGGAAAAAAAAAGAACATGCTAGTCTTTGAAAAAGAACATACCTGTGTTTCACAAAAGAACATGTTTGTGTTTGACAAGAACATGACATTACAAGGAACATAAAGTCTTTACAAAAAGAACATGTTATTTTTCATGGTTATTTGGGTGGTTAAACGTGTTTGAAAAAGAACATTATATTTGACAAAAAAGAACATGTTCGTGTTTGACAAAGATATAGGTGATCATTAGGCGGACCGGGCCAAGGTTAAAAAATCAGCTCACTTCTTGAGTCGGGCCAAGTTTTTTGGGCTGAAGTTTTTGTGCCCAAACCTGCCCAAAATGGTCCGGCCGTGCGGGCTTTTCGTGTTGAGTATAAAAAATCAACTAAAATGCATAATAACGCAATCCCAAACCCGCCCAAAAATTTAAATTTACGGGTCGGGTCCGACCCAATTAGGGGGTGAAATTTTTTTGCCCAAAACCCGTCCAAAATCAAGCCGGGTCGGTCTAACTTTGATCACCTCTAACCAAATAACATAAAGTCTTTACAAAAAGAACATGATAATACAGTAAAGAACATATTCTTTTTTCTAGTTACTCGGGTGATTGATTTTTTTTTTTTTTTTTTTTTTTTTTTTTTTAATGTACATACATTAAAGAACATATTGTATAATGTAAAGAACATATAGTTCAAACTCAAAGAACATATTAATCAAATTTAAAGAACATATTATGCTCACGTTCTTTATAAATATCTATAATGCTCTTTTTTTCGCCCATGTTCTTGTAAATATACCTAATGTTCTTTCCGGGTGCACCATGCGCATGGTGTACCCGGGTGCACCAACCATACATTAGTTCAATATATAGTTTAAGCTGATGGTTGAAGCCATAGTTGAGCCCAAAATTGATTTATATAATCTTTGGTCACAAAAATCTATTGTGGGTTAGCACATTGAATTTTCCATTGCTTGTTTATTTTGGGAATGTTAAATAGTGAAAGTCAATATTGTACGTCCTTGATTATTATTGGGAGACTGGGGCTATAGACAATTGTCCTTATGCACCACCATTGTGAATGTTGCACCACCATTGTGGATGCTCTAATAGTGGAAGTCAATATTTAATGGTCCTCGATTATTATTATACTGGGGTATCGACAACTGTGCAAATTAAGTTAATAAACACAATATTAATGATGATTTAATTCATAGGAGATTAATGCTCACATTACTTGTTTACTTCTGAAAAATATAAGTGGTTGCATGGCATAGGTTTAATAGAAGACTTGAACAAAACCAAACACTCGTCAAGAGAAATTGTTGCATCTTTTGCATGTGGCTGCCTAAATTGGAATCCACACATGAACTTACTAGTCTTGCGACTGACTTCCCTCAACCATTGTGCCTTGTCTAATTTGGCCTTTCTATCGTTGTTAATGAGACATGAGAAATTTATACTTTTTTTGGTATATATAGTACTTTGTCATACTACACGTCAGTTTGACATACAGTGGCGAAGTCTAAAATTATTGAGGAAGCCCCTGTTTATCAATTTGATTATCAAATGACAAAATGGTAAATAAAACAACATAAATGCCCAGTCATCATGATATTTTCGTAAATATATCAACAACACTGGGACCCATATTTACTAAAAAGTTGTTGATTTATTTACAATTTTGCTATTTAATAAACAAATTTTGTTTACCATATTGATAAACTTGTATTTTCTCAAAATTATTGCTGCATGTATTAAGAAATGGTGGAAGTGTATCATACTACGTATATAATTTCATTACAATAAACTATTTTGTCAAGACGACTTTGTTATAATTTACTACGAATTGAAGCACATCTTCTTCATATTATATTAGGGTGAGTTCTTATTACGACGAGTTCTTATTAATTAAAACATATTTTGCGTTATTTAAGGTTCTAATATTCTATATATACATTGTAACAAATCAATAATATTACGTAATATATAATATGTAGCTTTATCGGTTGCTATGTCATTTTCTATTTCTCATGCTAAAGAAATGAAAATTAAATTCCATAATTTTGTGTTTCGTTGGATAAATGGGCCAAATGAAACTATTTCTTAATCCAAGTTGTTGATAAGTTTCGTGTAAGCCCAGAAATTTAGAACCAATTAACTTAAGCAACAACAGCTATCAATTTCATTTGAATTTATTACAAATCTTTCTCAAATCTCAATAATCTTCCTCTCTATTTAAACATATTACGCACGCAATTTATACAACCGTACTTGACAATATGCTAATAATAATAATGTGTAGTCTTGTGTTTTTCAAACAAATTGGTAGAATTTCGAAGGAAAATTACAAATCGATCAGTGTTAATTAAAAGCTGTTTGGGTCCAATTTAGTCCAATTGGGCCTAAGCACTAAATGATCCAATTAAAAGCCCAAGATCAAGGTTCAACTCTCCAATTGTGCTAAAGTCAAAGGTCAGCCCACAAAGCAAGCCAATTGGGCTAAGGCCCAACCTCTCTATGTATGATGAGGTATAAAAGCCATCATATTGATACATTCAAGGGAAGATTCATATTCTGATTCATTCATAGATTCATATGTTCATTCACACATTCTGAGATATTCCACAAAAGCCTCAAGCAACAAACTCTCTTGCATAGTGTCTTCTTCTTACACATTGTACTAACTTTAGCATCGGAGGGGCCTTCCTCGGCAACACCCCCGAGGCTAGTTTACGTGTGTTTACTGTGCAGGAAGTCCTCGGCCCAACATAACTTGGACCGAATCCAGCCTTCTCCATTTCAGCGGACCTTCGGCAAGGTCCCATTGTTTTCACCCGAAACAATTTGGCGCCGTCTGTGGGGACGACTTTCAAAAATCTTTAAGCCAAATTCCTAACCAAGATCATCTTGCGATTATCTTAGCAGCAATGGCTAAGAACCGCAAGAGCAAAAGCCTCCGTCAAGGAGCGGGCGAAAAGCCTAAAACCCCTACACCATCGCCCTCGCCGGACCGGAACTCTCCCAAGGGTGCCGGCTCGGGGGGAGGGTCATACAAGGAGGATTCCCTATCTCCTGTAATTCATGACTCTCAATATAGGCCGGGCCACTCTCGGTCTAGCAGGGGTCAGTCCGATCATAGGACATATTCAGTGTCCCAAAGCCAACCATCGGCTGCGCGGCCTCATTCCCACACTCGGCCGAGGACCCCTTTGACGGGGCCCAGTTCGGAAGAGGTGGCAAGAGCGCTGGCAGTACTCATGGAGGCGATGAGGGCACAAAATATGCCACCACCTCGTGATCGAACTCCTCCGCATACCCGGCATCAGCGGAGGAAGTTAGACCATGATGGTGGGAAGCTTCCTTCCTTCCGGGAACTGGAAGAGTGGGAGGAGGATTCTTGGAAAAATGAAAAACAGAGGAAAAAGAACCCTCAATTTTTTAAAGGATCCTCATCCTCAAGACCAGAAGCGCATAAGAGCAGCAGCTCAGCTTCTCGGCCAGAATCTACTCACCGAGAACCTGAGACTGTTCGCAGAAGCGTCCTTGACCGACTCGGCGGCCAGGAACCGAGCGTGCGTAGTCGCCTCTCGTTCCCTGCAGCCGAGGCCCAGACTTCCCAGCCAGGGACGAAAACCACTCCTACCTCTCTAAGAGGGCGGAGCGCGGTCCCTTCGGCTAGGAACAAGGGCAAGGCCGTTATGCTACCCGCTAGTTCACCATTCGAGCAATGGATACTGGAAGAGCGCGTACCCACGGTTAAAATCCCTTCGCACATCACATATGACGGGACCACGGATCCGAAGGACCACGTGGCCTCGTATGAGACTCATATGCATCTTTGCCCCAGATCCGAGGCGACTTGGTGCAAATATTTCCCTACCACTCTCAAGGGGGTCGCGCAAGCGTGGATCTCCAAGGGAGTAAGGCAAGGCTCCGTAACAGGGTGGGATGATCTGTCCTCCAAGTTCAGGAGCAAGTTTTCCACGGTAAACCGCCGAGAGAAGACTACCGCAGAGCTCATGAGTCTGCAACAGGGGGAAACCGAAAGCCTCCGAGACTACCTGACCCGTTTCAGTAACGAGTCATCAAGCGTCTCCCAGCTGGACCAGGGGCTAGCCGTTTTCGCAATGCAGAATGGCCTTCAGCCAGGAAAGTTCCTAGACTTCATGGTCATGCATACCCCGCAGACTTTGGAGGAAGCTCTTAGTGCTTCGGATAAGTTCATCCGAGCCGAAGAATGGAACAAAGCGAAAACCCAACCTCAATCCGGGGGAGGGAAACAGAGGCAAATACCCTTGTCTGAAGGCCAAGGCCATAAGGCAAAGGGAAAGTCAA